CAACGCTTTAACCGACGTGGGACGCGGGAAAGCCGAAACGGCCTGGACTCTGTCGGGCAACGGAATCACACCTTCAGCGGAAATGCGGTGCCCGAGGAAATCCAGAACAGGCAACCCAAACTGGCACTTGGAAGGGTTGATGATCAGGCCGTGCGCTTCCAAACGCTGGAAAACCTGGCGCAGATGGGACTCGTGCTGGCTCGCTGAGCAGCTGGCCACCAATATATCGTCCAGATAAACAAAAACGAACGGCAGCCCACGCAAAACGGAGTCCATCAGCCGCTGAAAGGTCTGGGCGGCACCTTTCAGGCCAAACGGCATGCGCAAAAACTCGAACAAGCCGAAGGGGTAATGACAGCGGTTTTAGGAACGTCTTCGGGGCGCACGGGAACCTGGTGATACCCCCGCACCAAGTCAATTTTAGAAAAAATCGACGTTCCGGCGAGATTGGCAGAAAAATCCTGAATGTGGGGGATGGGGTAACGGTCATTCTCCGTGGCATTATTTAAACGGCGGAAATCTCCGCATGGCCGCCACCGACCGTCCGATTTGGGCACCATGTGAAGCGGAGAGGCCCATGCACTGTTCGAACGCTGTACAATGCCAAGGCGCTCCATGGCTGCAAACTCTTCCCGAGCGACGGACAGTTTCGAGGCGGCGCGCCACCCCATGCTTCGTTACCGTGCTAGAGAAATTAGGGACAGACAGCGATGGAAACTCTAAAAGCAAACGCTGAAAAGCATCCCCGGAGGTCACTACATTAGCCCGAATCAGGGGCTCGGCGGCCCGAGTAAAACAGGGTAGCGAAGAAAACGAGAGAGCATCGATTAAACGTCTGTTAGCGACATCGACAAGTAGTCCATGAGCACACAGGAAATCAGCACCCAAAATAGGTACAGAGCTAGCAGCAACAACAAAGTTCCACTGGAAATCCCGGCCATGAAAACAAACAGTCACCAACCTTTCCCCAAACGTTTTGATGGGAGAGCCATTAGCTGCAATGAGCTGCGGCCCACAGTTCGCTGCTAGTCCGTCGGCAGTGGTAGGGAGAAGGAGGCTCTTCTGGGAGCCGGAGTCCACGAGAAAACGTCTCCCGGAGCGCGAGTCCTCTATGAAGAGCAGCCTTTCTGTATTGCCAGCGGTCGCGGCTGCTACGGCGCGCTGGCGGGTCCGTTTCCCTGGGCCGTGAAAGCGCAAGGCGGCAGGCAGCGACGCGCTCTGTCGCCAAAACGCTGATGGTAGAAACAGATGCTCTTTCCGCGGTGCCGGCGTGTAGCAATCCCTGCCGTCAGGAAGGGGGCGGATGCTCCGGGGGAGGCAGGTGGAGGCGTGGAAGGTGCCGCCGGCGTGTCCGTAGCCAGGGCGTGAACGTCGAAAGTGCGGCTAGCCAGGAGAATGTGATCCGCTTCTTCAGCCAGGGAGCGATAATCCTTCACAGGCAGAAGCGGAGAGTTCGCGAGGACAGCTCTCACGGCGGCCGGTAGTTGGCGGAGGAAGAGGTGCACGAAGAGGAAACCACCGTCATCCGGCCCGAGCAACGATAGCATGTTCTCCATGAGCTCGAGCGCTTCGGCTCGTTCGGCGTCGGAGAGGGCATAGCGCCGAAGAAGCAGCTCTTTGAGGGCGGCGTATTTCCCTTGGGCGGGTGGGTCCCGGAGGAGCGCCATCGCGCGACGGGTTGCCAGCGGGTCGAGCGAGGCCACCACATGGTGATACTTCGTGTCGTCAGCCGAGATGCCGCGAAGGGCGAACTGAGCCTCCACGTGTACGAACCATGACGGGGGGTCATGGAGCCAAAAGTCCGGCAGTTTCAGCGCCACAGCGAACGTAGCTGCAACAGGAGGCGGAGGTCCGGCGGCCGCTGATGCATCCATAGCGGAGTGTGCGTTATCTACGGCCCGTTGCATGCTCGAGTCAGGGGTCACCAATGTGGAGGTAAGCATCAACGACACAGCTCTCAGTTCTCACTCCTTCTTTATTCGTCTCCAACATCAACTGCTCATATCGCGCCACAAAACACAGGAACACACTTCCTATACACTGGGTGTGAGTGGAGCCCTCTAGTGGTCCACCACACTATCATACATGAACTTGATTTAAATTCTGATAAAACTAGGAACTCTGTGGAACACCTATCAAAAAATTAAGGATAAATATTTTATTTACACACAACAAGATCGACAGAACCCTAAGAGCCTTCATCTGAAAGTTAATGGGGATGTGGCGAACAACACTAGAGGCCAACTTTAAGCCAAATGAACAACCATCAAGTGCAGGATTTACCAAGGAGATGCTCTGTCCCCACTGCTGTTCTGCTACAAGACTGGCTATGGATACTGACTACAGAATTGAGGAATCATTTGGCGCCTCCTCTACATGGAGTAGAGTAAACGAAACATTGATTCACTGATCCAAACCACTAGAATCTACAGTAATGACGTTGCAATGTCATTTGAACTGGAGAAGTGTAGTCAGATGGTGAATAAAAAGGGAAGGTAGTCAGAACCGAGGGAACTGCAATACCAGAAGGCAACACTGCAGACAGTGAGGAAAGTTACAAGTATCTGGGAATCCCACAGGCAAATGGGAATCATGAAGATGTTGTTAGGAAAGCTGCAAATACTAAATAACTGCAGAAATTAAGTTGAATGGGAAGAACAAGATCTGGAGAATCAACACCTATGTACTGCCAGTTGTCAGATACCCTGTTGAGATCAGGTGGCCAAGGGAGAAGATAGAAGCCACTAACATCAAGACAAGGAAGCCTTACCATGCGTGGAGGGTTTCATTCCAAGGCCAGCACCCTGAGACTGTCCACTAAGCGTGGTAGAGGACTAGTGAGTGTCAAATCCACTATCCAGAAAAAAACAGCAAAGATCCATGAGTACATCAGGAAGATGGCCACAAAAGATAGTGTGCTTAGTGAATACCTCAGGTAGCAGAAACCCGATAAAGAAGAGGAGCAAGAAGAGTTACCATAATGGAAGGACAGGGCCCTGCACAGCATGAACCACTTGCTGATAGAAATGGCTGATATCAAGAAATCTCGCCAATGGCTGGACAAAACTGGACTGAAAGATAGCAGAAAGGCACTAATCATGGCAGCAGAGGAGCAAGCTCCAAGCCCAAGATCCATGGAGGCTGGGGTCTACCATACCAGGCAAGACCCCACCCGGATGCAGGCTGTTATGCAGGTACAGGCTGTTATATGCTGGGCTGTGCCTGAGACAATCCAGAGAGAGATAGCGCAACAGGAAACAATAAAACCAATGTTGTTTGAAATTCCCAAGGTCAAAATACAAGATCATTGTAAAATTCTGAAGCCTTATGTTTCTGTGTATCATACAAAACCAACAAACCTATTTCCTGATTTCATTAAAACACTTTGAGGGAATATATTTATCTAAGTGTTCCTATCACTATTTGAAAACTGTGATGGATTCATGTGTACAGTAAAATCTACAAACGTCAATCATGTGGACAATATGTGATGTCTGACTCACTGCTTTCATTTTTCTTGTTTCAAAATCCATTTAGCGGTTAAGTGTTTTTTCTAGTCCACTAGAAAACCACTAAACCCACCAACCAAACTGAGCTGAATGTAGTGAAAGTGCAAAAGTGCATGTTTGTTTTTTCTTTCTAACTGCTCAGTGTGCGGTGTGCAGATAATTGAAGAACTTGCAACATGTGTAACAAAAAACTGGCATAGCTGAATTTGTTAAGTAATGTGTTAAGATTACAGCATTACAGAGAAATTGAATGTGATTACAGTAGTGAGTTACTTTGAATAGAAAACCAAACATTAAGAGGCACAGCCATTCCTTTTCTTTAACTTCTCATAATTATGTTTTGACAACTTCAAGAATGTTGCTTCAAACTCATTAGCAGTGAAAATACTGAACAGGTTTTTGATTCATCCACTCTTTCAATTGAGGTTAAGGAAGTGAGGAGCTGGTTTGCACAAGTTTGTATGTATGAATATGTGTAGATGTGCGTGTGTAGGTGGTGGGTAGGAGGATTGTGTGTGTGTCCAGGGGGGGTGATGTTTACAGCAAAGTAGTGGAAACTTTTGAGGGGGGTCATGTGACCAGCTTTGTCGTCTCTCATTATCTGCCAAGAATGTTCATGTTAATCCCTTTATCCCCAAAAAGAGAGAGAGAGAAGCTAAGAGAACAGAGGATGAGAGAGAGAGAGGGAAACAGGGTGGGGAGGTGGTTGGACTTAGAGGTAAATCCTCTCAGTATTTTACTGGTTCTCAGAATCAGAAGACAGGAAAAACTGAGACAATTAACTGAAGCTGAGGAAGTGAGACATAGAAATGGAGGAGAAACGGACTGTCAAAATCACATTGTTTTCTCTGTTTCTCAAAAAAAGAACAATGAGTAACACATGAAGGCAAAGCGTTTTTTTAAAAAAGGGGTAGTAGCAGATAGTAAGGGAAGTCAGGTGATGTGGAGTAACTGTCAAAAATAACCATCAAGTGCAGGACAAAATGACCTTACGTACAATTGGTTAATGCCTGTGTGTCACGCTGACATGGGAAATGTCTGTGGTACTCATTAGCAGCAATGGTCTCCCATTATACCTAAAAAAAGACATTCTGGGTCACGCTGCACTCGTAACAATAAGAGTCGCAGTGACTTTTCAATTCAAATATGTCGGTCTGCCTGTGAACTCGCAGTACTGTAGGGTATATGCCCATGCATTCATTAGCAGTCATTTGCTCTGAATCTTTAAGTCTACTTTCACCTGCTGGATGTGTAACAGATAAAGGGAAGTTTCGCAGTGACCTGCTGGGAATGGTTCGGTATAACTGAGATGAGTCAGAGAGACAAAGAAGCAGTGCAATATGTCAAATTTAAGACCTTTCCCTAAAAGTAGCATCTGAGAGCTAAGAAAGATGTGGTCATAAAGTGGATCAGCATACGGAGACAAAACAGTAAATTAAGAGGAGAAGTTTCGATAGTTACAGCACTCTTATCCGCTGCTATAACACTGACCTGCTGAGGAAGCCTGGAAAGGACAGGCGCACGGGGTAACCATAACGGATCATGCGCACCATCTCAAGCACCCCGATGTACTGCAGCTGGGTAGACACATGGAAGCTGTCAAAATTGTCTGGCTGACAACTAGAGTTGGGTCGCACACACTCCACGAAGTGGGGAGTGCAGGCCTGCAGTTTGCTAACCAACTCTGACAGTGTGTTCTGGAAGAGAAAGAAAACACAGAGGAGATGCATTCAATTGCACATTTTTAGCGAGTCGATCACAATAGCCTCGTGGCTGTTTTTACATGTAAAGTAATTTAGAGAGGAAGGAAGGATTGTCTGACTTCATTTGATGTTTGACGTGTGTGCTGTACAAACTGGAGCAAAATTACAATGTGTTTGTGACAAAGTGGTGTGATTTTGGGGTGTGTTTTTGCCTCTGGAGAAAACAAAAGCACAAAGAGCTCTTTGCTCTGTCTACGGGTGTGTGAGGGAGAACGGGAGAAAGAGCTTTTCTTCAATCCCTGAATTCAAAGATGCTCCATTCAAGGTCACATAGACCCATAAACACTTACATCTGTGTTTTTGCCATTCGTCAAACTAACGTCAGTCTATGCACTGCATACCCTTAGGTTTCAGTGCTCAATACCTCACCCCTCATCTTTGGATGCCACTAGCAGCATTCACATAACTGTCTTCCCTCCAAACATGCGTATGCACACACTCAAATACGTGCCCACAGAACACAGTGGTTTTTGTTCATTGTTCATTCATTCATGTGGAGGGCTTCATGTTTGGCTTGGTACAGCATCATTCTTCAGCCCACTCTCTCCTTCCCTGCCATTCCCAGAGGGACTCGTTGACCACAAGTCCACAAGTCCGATTGTGCAATACACTGGTTTCATTCAAACCAAAGGTACTGCTTCTCTCAACCACATTTTAGGCTTCTTGCGTCACCACCAAGAAGCCGCTCTCCCCTGCTCTCCTCTAACTGAAAATTTGTGCTTCTTTATATAGTTGTGAAATCACAGCACCCAATTCTAAACAGTAACAGCATAGTAATTCACAAGATTGACATAAATTCCTTTGCTTATTCCTGTAAAATTTCATTCGCTTGCAACTGGAAGAATTATGTAACGGGACGAGATCATACCCTTAGCTGGACTGCCACTGTGGTGGGTCCACAACGCTCTAGTCGCTGGAGGAAGGAGCTGGAGCCCTTTTTCTTCAAGATCTGGAAGCAGGAAGCGATAATACAGGAACTTATTAGACAGATGAACCTCTTGAAGGGGCCATTGATGAATACGGAACATTATCATCACATATCATCAAATTTGTGCAGCCTTAATAAAACCATGTTGATATCTTTGATAATTGGTGTGGTTCTTGCAATCAGATTAAATATGTAGCATATTTAGAATTCAGGCACAGTTATGATTTGTCATATGTAAGAAGAGGTTCAGTGCTTCACTGTTATATTTACAGGCTTATACACCGAGCAGCAAAACAATATTGCCTAGTGTTACCGTATAAGGCTGCTGGGACAGATCAGTGAGGTTAAAGGGGCCTTGTATAAGCCTTTGCTCTAGATGGCTAATGAGCCACAGAAACAGCAGACAGGGCCTCCTGAAGGTTATACAACCAGCAATCACATATGTGCACCACTACACTGTACTTTCAAAACATTGAAACAAATAAAATAAAGAGGGAAAAACAGCTGAACGAAGAGACTTGGGACACTATCGTTTTCAGGTGTGCTTTTTCGTGTTTTGAGAAAAATGTATAAGCACACTAATGCCCCCAGTTCATGTGCACGTGCATACATTCTTGCGGAGCTTTTATCTCTTGCAGGGCTGCACAAACAAATCTAATTCCCAGATGTTTATATATAGCAGTGTGGTGGGAAGAAGCCTAAATTAACCTTTTCTTTTTTTGTTCCTGAAAAATACCACCCCAGTTTTTCCATCGATTGATTTTAGTGGTCACTTTACAGCAGAGCTTTCTGGGTAAACATGTCACCAAGTCCTATTTTCTAATATGCAGTTGAAATGGGAGTGGCCATGTAATATTTCAGTTTACTTAAATCTAGTGGTCACGCACTAAAAATACTATAAAGGTGAATTGATGTCAGTGTATTGGCTCAAGTGTAGGGTGTAGCCACAGTAGTGGACTCATCCTACTGTGTGCAAGGTACCGTACCTTAGTAAGATCATGGTACCTCCGGGGCTGTTGGGGGATTGAGCTGGCACTGACAAGGGAGACTGATGGTATCCTGTGGAGCAACAAGGCAGCTTTAGGCCCCCTCAGCCCTATGCAGCTCCGGGCTGCTGGCACCAAGGAACCAGTCTGAGTCAGCTTGGACTGGAAGAGCTGCTGCAGCAACACACTCTCACTGGCTGCCGGGCACAAAGCACATACATGCAGAGAGGGAGGAAAACATAAGGGTAAGAGAAGCAATAGCATTGGTTGAAAAAGTGGGTGGAAGCGAATATGGAGAGGTGAGAAAGAAAGAAAGATAGAAAAATGAACAAGGACAGAGAGAAATATCAGTGGAGGAGTGTAAGCAGGGAGGACGCATAAAATCAATCTGCATGTAAACAACAATCAGTTAGGCAACAAGAGGGGGTGGACCATGTCACTCTATAACACGTGGAGCGGTTCGCAACAACAATGAGCTCATTCAGAAAGCCAAACAACATGTGTGTGAACGTGGGTGTGTGGCTCTAATCTGAAAGGCTGAGAAAGACACAGAAAAAAAGGAAAGAGAGAGCGAAGGAGAGGTGGTAAAGGATGGTGGCAGTTAAGCAAATAAAAAACAAGACTTCTTTCAGGACTTAAATACTAAAAGCTCCGAGCTAATTGCCTTTTTATTCATGGCAATCACTTCGATCATCTGAATAATCCATGTAGCTTTGTCTCGATCAATAATCTATTTTGAAAGAAAAATCTGGAAACAGTTTTTTGTTCTTAACTAAAGGTTTTTTTCACTCATTTTAAAGAAAAATATAAATCAGAGCAGTTGGTGACACAAAACAGACACCAGGATTGCTTTTTTTTTTTGTTTCATTTTTGGTATAAAATGAAAGACAATGACACAATTACTGACCAATGACGATGGTTATATTCAAATGTATCATTTTTTATAAACAGCTCAAACGCTATATTAAAAAAAATATGCAGGGGTGTTTAGTTTTATCACATTTATGGACACATCATCAAGGGTTGGGTAGATTAACAGGAGCTGTCTAGATAGACTTCATTCACTTGGCAGTTTGCACTTAAATCTCTACTCTTGTTTTTTATTGGCTCTCTTGTTTGAATTTAAACTGCCTCTTGTCTGCCAAAGAAATCAGTGCACTTTGCTCGAAGTGACCTGAGTCTGCCATGACTGCCGCAGGAGCAGATGATCATGTTGTAGCACAAGAACACCGGCAGTGCATAAAATTCATTCTTTTCTTTCTGAAAGTAAACCATAACTCTAGTGCTGCTGTAAAGTATAAAGATTGTTAACCACTTTGACTTTTATACTTTGAAAAACTAATTAAAATAACTTTTTTAAATGTTAACAGCGTAACTAGCCATTTATAGCCTATTACATTTCATGAGTAACCTTTTTCAACACTGCTGTGCTCCTGTTTTCCAAACCGTGGTATAGTGCATGTAAAATTACAAGAACAAGAGCTGTTGCCCCCACTAAGAGGGGCTAAACCCTTAAGTGAGTGCTTCTGTGAAGAGCAAACAAAGGTTAAGTGAATAGCTAGCCAGAAACATGAAACAGTATACTGCAAAATGTCTGAGCATCCTGCAGAATTATAAACAAGGGAAGATAATAATAAAGAGTCTTTGTGTGCAAACACTCGCATGGACACAGACCCTAAATTAGCTTAATCAACCTACCATCTTTGTAATGAAATCTCATAAGACATATCTGCGAAATGGAACGGTTCGAACATTAAACATGTATCCAAATTATGTAACTTTTTTTAAATACCCAATTCAATTTTAAGAACAAAATTATATGTAAAAAGTCATAATTTCCACCTTTAAAATGCTGTTACAAACATTATCTTATTCTTTCAGTTGGTGTTTTGTTTGAAAAATGGAGATAAGCTACATGGATTCAGAATACTGAACTACACTACGAACATTTTGGGCACACTGTTTTGGCTTTGAGTCAAAGAGCAATAAGAACAACAAACATAAAGAGCTCTCTACAGCAACAGTGAGAAAAACAAGGAATAAATCTTGCATTTTTTTCAGGTAAACTGATTATAAAAACATTCAGGGCATTATTTTTAGATCATCTTCACCCTATATCCACAGCCTACAATTTCATGTAATAATGCACATAGCAGACACTTTGGTCCTTTTAACTTCAAGCCCTAAACAAGAAGTGACGAGGGGATGCCACCTAAAAGAAAAAAACCACATTGTTTATGTCTAGGTGTGGATGAAAGGCAGCGATGCATCGACCTGTCAGACGGAGGGATAACAGCCAAGTCTGAGAGACGAGCTAGCCTTTAGAAGATTAGCCTCATCATGGAAATTATAGCAATTAGGCTTCTGGACACGAGCTAGCCTGGCAGTCACACAGCGAGTCCCTGTGTCCTGCTAACCACAACACCTCACATCTGGCACTTTCTATAGACAATATACACACAGACGGTGCTGTCTGCTGCACAGGGGATGAAACGCACATATAAAAACACAACCACATTTGGACAACGAGTGGTTTTGTGTGCTGTTTGTTTACACAAGAGTGCGTCTTTGTAATGAAGCGCGTGCTGACACCACAATGTGCACGCATGTCTGTTATTCATTGGGTACTTACACTTAATCGTAAACAGGAGATTCTGAGGAAGAGAGTCCTTGTTTTTTGTTAGCGATCCCGTGAGGTTGTATGAAATCTGGCAGAAAAAAAACAAATAAATACAAATCAAGAAATATATACTAGTATAAAAAAAATATTCCATTATATTTATTCTATCAGTTCATATCTCGCAAATGTGCTATGAACCACAGATACAGATGCAATACAAACAGGCCCAGTAACTGGCTGGTCCTTTAGTGGTCGCCATAGTGGATCATCTGCCTCAATATCGCCCTTTCTCTAGCATTCTCCTTCTGTCGGGCCAATCCTCCTTTATTGCATCCATGAACCTTCTGTGTGGTCCAATATAACCACCTGCAAATGTCCAAACCATCTCAGCCTTGCCTCAATAAGTTCTATCGATGTACTCATTTCTAAGATTCACCGTTTCCAGCTTGGCCTCCTGTCTTTTTTTCAGTGCCACCATCTCCATGATGAGAACTGAGCTGGTCTTGCTACCAACCTAACCTTTTACTCTTGTTGCCATCTTTATGTCACAAATCTGACACTCATCTCAATCAACTCCATCCTACCTGCGCTATCTTCATTAGCTCTCTTGTGCACTGGCTGTTGCTTTGGATGGTTGACCCCAGGTATTTAAACTCCTCACTACCTCTCTCCTTGCTTGCTCACTGTCACACCTGCTTCATTAACACATGTGTTCTGCTTTGCTTCTATTGACTTCCATTCCTCTTCTCTCCAGAGCATACTTTCACCTTTAGTCTCTCTTCCATCTGCTCCCAACTCTCATCACAGATCACAATGTTGTCTGCAAACATCGCAGTCCACACTCCCGCGTGACCTCATCTGTCAGCCTGTCCATCACCATCACAAACAACACGGGGCTCAGTGCCGACCCCTGGTGTAATCCCACCCCCATCTTAAACCCATCTGTCACTACTACTGCACACCATACCACTTTACCGCTGTCCTCATACATGTCCTGCACCTCCCTCACATACTTCTTGTGCCACTCCAGACTTTCTCATGCAGTACTATAGTTTCTCACTTGGCACTCTTTCACATGCTTTCACTAGATTCACAAATTCATTCTGCATACGTCTCCATCAACACTCTCAAAGCAAACATCACATTTATAGTTTTCTTTCTTGGCATGAAGCCATACTGCTGCTCACTGATCATCATCTCTCGTCTTCACCTAGCTTCAGCAACTCTTTCCTATGTCTTGGTATGAGTCATCACCTCTTTCCCTCTGTAAATTCTGCACATCACCCTTATGCTTGAAAACTGACACCAGTACATTTCTCTTCTCACACACATCTTCCTCAGGCATCCTCTCACTCTCAATCTCCTCACACTGTATAAAACAATGTGCTCAAAAAGACATCCTAGACATCGCCACACCTCCACAAGTATGTCATCTGGACTAACTGCGTTTCTAACATTCATGCTCTTTATAGCTGGCCTCACTTCATCCTCATTAATCCTTTGCAAAATCTACTGAAATAAAATTGCCATACACACACAGACCTGTCCTGCATAGTGGCTGACAATAAAGGCTGGGCCTTGGTCTTTTGGTGGGGGGTTCCCATTGCCATCCTTGGTAGTGAGAGACAGCCCATGAATTTGGTTGGAGTCCAACTGGGCAGAGAGCCTCTTGTACAAGGTCTGCTCTAATGGCCGCAGGCTCTGGCTCTCCTCATCTAACACGCACAACAGCCCCTGGGGCTTCTAGAGGAGGAACAAACAGATGTTCACATTATCATTTATTTAGGAGATATTTACAAGCACTAAGCAATAACAGTAATCCATATTTTGTGACACTTCCAGAGAGCCACATTTTTTTTTTTCGTGTGACATGAAGGAGATTCAGTAATATTATTTGATTTAGAGATTTCTCGCACCAATTACAACAGAGGCAGACAGTTGGCTTAGAGGGGCATTAGCAGTTATGTTTATATAGACTTTTTGAACATGTTATGTTTTTGCCTTTTGTCTCAATTAAAACGTCAAGACTTTAACTGTGTACATTAGAAAACTGAATAATTGTGATTCCAAAAGTTAGGTTGGGAAAGTGTGGTTGGGATTGTTGCATTACATAATGTCAGATCAAACTGGACTGGACTGGTCCAAACTAGAAGCATACAGTACCTGAAAAAAGAAGTCCAGAATGGCTGGGTGGTTTCTGGGAGAGCGTGCGTTCTCCATGGCGATGCCCTCCTGCAGACACTCAGCCTGCTCCTGCTGGAATAGCACCTCAGAGACGTACTGCCTCAGCCGCTCATTGGTCATGTTCACACACAGCTGGAATGCACAGAGCGCACACACACCAGCATGTAAACACTCTTCAGCACGCATGGCTGACGTTCATCAGAGAGATGCTGCTGAATGCTTATGTTTAAAGAACAAAAATGTTCACAATGCTGGACACAATCGGCTGTCGGGGGCATAAATGAGCTGACTTCTCTTGTAACAGTGGACCAGTAAACTATTACAAATGTCTGACACCTTGGTGTAGACTAGGGTTTAATGCCAGGAAATGGGATTCCTGGGAAATCCTAGCAAGATTATTTCCCCAGTTCCTGGGAAATGTAAAGACAGAGAAAAAATTAACTTGAGTGCTGTTTATTAAAAAATGTAGCCTGTTAATGAATACAAAGCATTTGGGGTCAATAGCACATGTTCCAACTTCTGAGTTGACACTGTGGGATTGCATTTCCACGGTAACACATTTTGTATGGTGTGGCCTTGTTTATGCACACATCCAGAAGAAGGAAAAAAGTGAGTGCAAAATGAACAAATGTGACTAAAATAAATGATGCCTGTTGTTGCAAGTTCATTTTTGCTTTAATCGGGGAAACTCAGAATCTATTTTAATTATGATTGGTCCATCTGATTTATATATTATAGTTATATTTTGGTAACACCACTATACATTAATTGTCTATTTTGCCTTAATAATAAGCAGAAAAACACGTAGAAAATGTCATTGTGAACACATGCATGGCCGATTCTCCGTGGTGTATTAGAGCTGCTTTAAATGATCAGAGTTTAGCTGAAGTTATTAAAAAGAAACATGTTTAATTCCCAGGATTCCTGAGAAAACTGAAGATGAATTTTCCCAGGAATCCCAGAAAATAAAAACACTTTGCAGTTTATTGTAAACACATGACAAAAAAGATTGAAAGAGATTGTGAAACATCTATAAACATCTATAAAACATGTGTAACACTAATTATATGCAGGTCTTGGTGGACCTTACTGAGCACGATTATGATGCGACTGTATTCCTGAACAATGCAACTGTCATATCGAACAGAAGCACTGCAGATGCAAATCATCTGTTCCCTATTGATGGCTACTGTTAATAGGAGCACTAGAGTAACCAGAGACATATCCATAGCATCGTAAATTCAATAACAAATGCAGTTAAAGTCCGAGCAGCACTCACTGCCACAGCCGCAATTTCAATAAGTACAGACCACTCAAAGGCACTCAGGGCCAGCTACATACTGTCATAGCTTGCCCTTTTAATAGGAGTAATGAGAAGCAGGATAGAGTGGTCAACCTGCAGTGCAAAGTGTCACATCAACTCTCCTTTCTATAGTTTCTCTGGGTTGGCAGTGTACTATAACTGGACTAGTCCAAGGCAGAAACTGCTCCAATACAGCAGAAGTAAAATATCACAATAATTATAGGATATTAGGATAAAATCTGATTTGCTGAATGCATGGTAATCATTAACTAACAGGCGTAATATATTTTTCATAGTGCAGGCGGTCCCATCTTCAGTCTATTCTTTTACTCCAAGCTAGTTTAGTCCATTAACAGCTTAGCCCCAGCAGGTGGTTGATTGAGTTAGCTCATTAGCAAAGTGTTGAGCAGGTACAACACATCCCTGCAAACACAGTTCTAATTAACAAGTTCTAATGACCCCGATCCTTGTGCGCATGTGGAGCGTGCTCGGGTACGCTGCTGCATATGCGTGCACATGTGTGTACAAACATGTCAGAGCTTGTTTGTCACTGAAGTGCCACGTCTACTGTACGAGGTCATTGTGTTTATCCGGAAGTTGCCCCTCCTCTTCCCTCTTCTGTGGGTTTAGTGTCTGATGAAAGAAAGCATGCAGTGCCAGACACAGTAGTTTTTCCTCTCGCTTTTTTTTTTTTTTTTAGATTTTCTTATCCTGTTACTTTCTTTTCTCTTCTGGCACTTTCTATGACTTAAATAGAAAAGGTGAAATAATCTCTCACCTCCATTTGGACTGGAAAAAAATCCAGATGGGCTAGGCCACTGTTATCTTAGTGACAGACACACACACTCATACAAAGCAAATACAAACAGACACTCTCTTAATGAAAGCTGTGAAAAACTAGTAGCTCCACAGGGAGGAAGTGTGAGCTTTCAGTAGCAGGAATAAGCACTTAGCCTCTTGAGCACTATGAATTACACTCTGAGGCTCCGGATACACACACACACACACACACACACACACACACACACACACACACACACACACACACACACACACAGAAACTTGTCTTGTCTGTCTGATCCCTGCTGATCTTACAACTGAGTAGTCTATTAACAGTGCATGCCTGATGAGAACATGGCAGATTTACAGCCTATAGCAGGTGAGCTGTATACAGCGGCACATGTTGCACTTCACAATCTATAGAACCAAAGATGGCAGACATGCTGAGCAGCCTGTGGATGCAAATGTATGTATATATACAAACATGTATTCCAAAACTTCCTTGCCACAGCAGGTAGCTCCATGTGTTTCATTTGGCTGAATTTTAAACCGGAGAGTTCGTCCGTTAGTCGAACCTCGGATACAGGAGGAACAATGCGGTTTTCGTCCTGGTCGCGGAACACTGGACCAGCTCTTTATCCTCTCCAGGATACTTGAGGGTGCATGGGAGTTTGCCCAACCAGTCTACATGTGTTTTGTGGACTTGGAGAAGGCATTCGACCGTGTCCCTCGGGGTGTCCTGTGGGAGGTGTTGCGGGAATATGGGGTGTCTGGCCCATTGCTACGGGCCATTCGATCCCTATACAACCGTTGCAAGAGCTTGGTTCGCATTGCCAGCAATAAGTCGGACTCGTTCCTGGTGGGTGATGGGCTCCGCCAGGGCTGCCCTTTGTCTCCGGTTCTGTTCATAATTTTTATGGACAGGATTTCTAGGCGCAGCCAAGTGGCGGAGGGCTTTCGCTTTGGTGGCCTCAGAATCTCATCTCTGATTTTTGCAGATGATGTGGTTCTGTTGGCTTCATCGGGTGAGGGCCTCCAGCTCGCACTGGAGCGGTTCGCAGCCGAGTGTGAAGCAGCGGGAATGAGGATCAGCACCTCCAAATCTGAGGCCATGGTTCTCAGCCGGAAAAGGGTGGAGTGCCCACTCCGGGTCGGGGATGAGTTCCTGCCCCAAGTGGAGGAGTTCAAGTATCTCGGGGTCTTGTTCGCGAGTGATGGGAGAAGGGAGCCGGAGATCGACAGACGGATTGGGGCTGCAGCTGCAGTAATGCGGACGCTCCACCGGTCCGTCGTGGTGAAGAGGGAGCTGAGTGTAAAAGCGAAGCTCTCAATTTACCGGCCGATCTACATCCCTACCCTCACCTATGGCCACGAGCTGTGGGTAGTGACCGAAAGAACGAGATCGCGGATACAAGCGGCAGAAATGAGCTTCCTCCTGTTAGGGAAAATATTCTAAAACACTTCTTCAGTAAAGACTCAGAGAAGAGAAACACACAGAGTTCTTGCTAGCAAGGGCAGCTCCCTACTGAGAGACTCGCACTAAGAAACTGCCCCGGTCTTTATTTATACTTCAGTGTGTGTGTGTGTGTGTGTGTGTGTGTGTTACTGCTGATCAAAGGGTCATGAGAGCACAAAAGGTACATCCTTGGTCAGGAAAGGGGGTAGTCTCCCCCACCCTAGATAACATGGTGAGGAAGTCCAGCAGTTCATCTATATGTAAAGAAGCACTTAAACTAAAACAAATGTAACTACGTTAATCCTGCCATAAAACAATAAAACAAGGTATGAGCTCTCATGCTCCCAGACGTGGGGGTGCATTCCTGGGATGCACCCCAAGCCTGCAGCCTGTTAGAGATCACACACAATTAATTATATGCCTCTAAGTATACATGGTTGAATATTTTCTAATACAAATAACTACATGCAGTATTCTACCATATGCAAACTTATATCACTAAAAGATTATACTGACTACTAAATACAATTTTCCATTGACACCTCCGAAGGGTGGCTGGCCTCTCCCTTAGAGATAGGGTGAGAAGTTCGGCCATCCGGGAGGGGCTCAGAGTAGAGCCGCTGCTGCTCCACATCGAAAGGAGCCAGCTGAGGTGGTTCGGGCATCTGACAAGGATGCCCCCTGGGCGCCTCCTGGGTGAGGTGTTCCAGGCATGTCCCACCGGGAGGAGGCCCCGGGGCAGACCCAGGACACGCTGGAGAGATTATATCTCTCGGCTGGCCTGGGAACGCCTTGGTATTCCCCCGGATAAGCTGGAGGAGGTGGCTGGGGAGAGGGAGGTCTGGGCCTCTTTGCTTAGGCTGCTGCCCCGCGACCCGGCCCCGGACAAAGCGGATGAAAATGGATGGATGGATGGATGGATGGATGGATGAATTTTAAACCAGATATGTTTCCTGACACAGTCTCAAAGGGCATTTCTGAAGCAACCTTATGTTAACTACTATACTATAGGAACCACAATACATCAGATACATAGAAACATTAAAAATAAATAATATAGTGATGTCTCAAACATGAGATGCAGGACTTTAAAAACCCGGTTTTTAAAAAAGGAGTAGTTTATGTGCCAGTTTCAGGTACACCACTGTTACACACTAAGCAAATCTGCTTGTCTTCATAGATAGACTTCTTAATATTAAATATAAACTTTACTCATGAACCAAAACTAAAAGTCATGCACTTATTATTTACTAATGTTTCTGGTAGTGAGCAATAATTACACTGCCTGTTACTAATGTAGCCATATCTGGGTGCAAAAATGAAAAATAAATGGGATTAACTATTCTGGACTAAGATCAACTTGATTCAATAGCCTGTACTGGCAAGTAATGTAATGCCAAATATATAAAGTTGTATTTTATTAAAAACAGGTTTTGTATTCCTCATACACACACACACACCCACATGGTGGTTTGAGGCTGCCTATTACACTAACATGTTGCACAGAGACAGACACTGTGTCAGCCATTGGTTCATTGGAGGACAGATGAAAATCACGCCACAGTCAGCCACAGACCTCACCACATTCATTACAATTACAGACAAAAATGTCTGGGCTAAAACAGATAAGAACTCCAAATATTTAAAAAATTTGATTAGGATCACATACAGTACCATTCAGAGATATTTCAATAGCAGAGAACGGCCACAGGGGAGGCATTTGGCTCAATTAGGCGGAATAATCACACAGCGTAAAGGGACGAGGAACATAATAGCAATGTTTTGGTTTTTTGGCTGAATTTTAAAACAGAAAGCACTGTCCCACCTGCTCAAATCCATTCTTCTGAAATTCTTCAAACCCAAATATGTCCAAGATCCCAATCTCCCAAGCAGGATCACTGGAACAAAGAAATGAATGTTACTTATTAAATAGCCACTTTTATTTTTCCTGAGTCAACATGAGAAAAGTGTTGCTTATGTCACTAATGAGACATTTGATTCTATTGTGTGTGCGCGTGTGTGTGCAATAAAATCTGAAAGGGGTGTGCCACGAATGTGTGGTTGACAAATTTATTACATTCTGTGGCTGGTGTGTAAACAAGGCAGCTCACAAACACATTCCAGAAGATCTAGCGCAGGTTATCAGAGTGTGATAAGGCTTCACAACATCAACAACACCAAGGATCCTATGTCCTTCACCTGGGTGTGTGTGAACATAAGTTGTTTTTTGTGTGTATCTGAGGCCTCCATTAAAAAAAAAAAGCCTTGGATGTGTCCTCCATCTCTAACCTGTTGTTCAATACACAGATTTTAGTCCACAAGTTTATTTAAATGTTTATTTCTGCTCTAAACTAAAGGATTACTTTACAGTATTAGTGTTAGTCACTCCAGTTTACACAAATGAGTGATTGCTTTTGGAAATCTGTCATTTCAAAGGTTTTTATTGTGGTGTGTCGCGGAAACACATCTAGACACAGACACCACACACCACTATACCTGATGGTGTCATCTTGTCCCTGAAGGTAGTCGTTGATATTGTTGACCAGATAACTGAAGAGGCGCCCGTAGATGGCTTTGGCAAGCTGGTCCCTGTACTGCTCTGACATCTCTACTGTGTGGCGCCGAGTGATCACATCACCTGCACAAAGGCACAAAATACAGTTTCCGGTATTCGACAGATGGGGTTTTTACACTTTTCTTTCTTTAAAAGGTTAAATCTCCTTAGGGCTATGAATACTACTAGTGGTGCAACGGATCACGGTTGATTCGTAATCCAAACCGATCCCACTCACGGTTCGGCACGCACGTGATCCGAAGATTCGAAAAAAAAAGGAAAGAAAGTATGTGTATGGTGGCGTGGTGGGTCTGTCAAGAGATAGTTATGGCCAGTGCTAGCGGTCCAAGTGGAGGAGCAGAGGAGCTTGCGGTATTTAAGCAGCCCTTTGCTGCCCAATCCGACCAGGCTAAAACTATTACAAAAGCTGTTGGGGTGTTTAGCTGCAGACGGGAGGCCGTATCCCGCTGTGCAAAACAAGGGGTTTAAACTATGATGCTTGAGCCACGCTATGATATCTTGTTGCGCGTCCAGTTTAGTGGCAAGATTGTTCCAAGCACGTATGAGCAGGAAAAGATTTAAGTTATGGCTGAACTGTCCCAGGCATCTTCTGTTGCCCTAACTACTACAAATGGGTGGAGCTCCAGGGCAACGGAAAGCTATGTGACCGTGACCGCTCATTATATCGCAGCAGAGTGCGATATAATGAGCGGTGTATTATTGTAGGGTCTACCTTACAATATAAAGCGCCTTGAGGCGACTGTTGTTGTGATTTGGCGCTTTACAAATAAAATTGAATTGAATTGAGTGGTAGATACAAAGCCCTTTACTGCCCTATATTGTACCATAATTTTTTTTAAATCTTTTTTCTTTTTTTACTGATCCGAAAATTGATCCGATCCCTGACTTAAAACCATGATCCGATCCGAACCGTGAGATTTTTGATCACCAATAAATACTACTTATCTCTCTATGCTCTCTCTCTTGAGGGCTCCAAAGACAGTCCCAGGATAGAAGAGATATACAGATTTTTGACATATTAACAGAAAACCCTTCAAATTTGACGCCTACATAAGGGATATTCTGTAAGGGGTATTTCCCAAGCATGGTCTGGGTCCATTTATCCCTTTGGGGGAAGGACCATTGTAAAGCCATAGTAAAATTATTCTGGGTGATTATTTGATTGTGCGCTGAAGCATCATGATGAATATGGTCTCTTCAAGGATGACAATGCCCCTTATCCATATGGTACCACGGCTCACTGAAAGGTTGGATGAAAATAATGCAAATGGTGAACACGAAAAGGCTGATAAAGCAATACCTTTGAAATACTGAACATCAGAGGTGAGGGCGGTGCTTAAGTCACTGGAGGATACCTGCAATAATCCAGCAACTGTTGCAAGGAAGAAAAAGAGAGAGGGAGCAAGGAAGAGGCAGAGTAAATGACAGTGACAGGTTAAAAAAGCATCAAAATAACGCCATTAAATGTTAACCGAGCATCAGAAAGATAGGGACGATAACATCCCAGAGCCCACTGCTCTGATGATGATATCACACTGACAGCATAACAGCCTGAACTCTGCTAAAGCTCATTCCCGTTTAACTGATCGATGAAGCTGGCAGCAATTAGTCATCATTGGATTTCTGAGCAGAACCCATCAACAAGCAGCAAAAACAGGTGACAGCAACCCTTCGCTGACATCACTAGTCGTAACAATACATCTCCAAGGTAACAATGTCTCCTTCCCGATCAGGTGCTGATGTGATTTGTTTACATCAAACATGTGCTAGCTGCATAATGAGCGAATTAGACTGAGAGACAGGAAAATAAGGCTGTCCCTGATGACGGAAAAGTCTGTACATGTACATGTTGTTTTCAGTGTGGATACCAAACAGGTAACTGCCTGGCCTTCAGCTATTGCTGGCAAGCTGCCAAGAAGACTACTCTAAGGGAGGATGAGGGAGGCGCTCTGACAGCAAGGTAAATAGAATGAGTTAGTGAGATCCACCCCTCCTCCATTGCCTAGTTCCACTTCCTCTAAGGGTGGAAATGTGGCCCTGGTGGTGGCATAAGCACTGACCTCTCTCCAGCAGCTGCAGGTCGGAAGGGAAGGCTGTGTCAGCATCTGTCAGTGCTGTGAAACGCAGGTCCCCGATATGGAGCACAGCAGAGAGCAGCGTAAATACTGAGTCAACCTCCTAGCAGCGAAAGAGAGAGAGAGACAGGAGAAAGTTGAGAGAATATGATATTAACTATAATCTTTAACTACTAATTAAAAATGGAACTATATGAAACGGTTATCAAATCCAACCTTTTTCATAGGGACATGAGTCTTTATTCGATGTCAACTTCATGATCCTAGTGATCCTTCTAACAAGCCCATGGAGCCAAAGCCTTATTAAGTTCAGTCCTCTTTGCCCCAGACCTCCAATTAATCTCACTTCTATAATTCAGTGGCCAGGTTCGCTCATTATCTTGATCCCTGGCGGTGAAGACAGTGTGGAATAAACATGCTAGTTTTTTATTTTATTTTAATGTATGCATAAATCAACAGCTTAAAAACGCTGCCCTTAAATTAAGCGCACATCCTGTTATATCTGTGCTGTGTGTCCTCTAGCTTCAGCCCCACTTCAAACAGTTTCATGCAGCACACCACACTCATTTTAAAACACAAACAATCTCTTTTCAGATCAGCATATCATCACCAGTTAAAAAGTCATCTCTATCCTTAACGAAGCGCCTGAAAATGTGTATCACATGACCATTTATACATGTAGGCAGTTGGCGTATGATCAAATATAGAATTTGACTGGATAGCGATCTGGCAGCATAGAAAAAAAGGGTAGCAATGTCTGTCATTTTCCCTGAAGTAAGCGTTTATAATCAAGGTTGACGGCTGTGTGACAAATGAGCGAACAACACAAACTGTCAATGCACGATTGTTTCCAAAAGTTTCAACGTCTACCTGTCCAGCCTGAGGGCAATACCAACGTATTTTAGATTTAAAGCATCCACCTCTTGCTACAGTTATGAGTCACTCTCTGAATCACTCTCTGACTTTGAAAAATGCTGCTGATTGTCTGGACTGACTGGAGCAGCATGGAGAGTTTGGAAATGATGCAGACACCTACATTCACTTCCAGTGTTCAGTCATTTCAGCATGCAAATCAAAGTAGAATACATTGCGTTAATTCACATGCACATGATGATAAACGGCAAGTAAAAGATGGTTATTTTACTGATGTATGATTATGGTTATGGTTAGGGTTACTGCTGGTCTCACAGCATATGGCTGTCTAACAAATATCGCTCACTTTGTGCTACACGTATGCCGATATGACAATGTATGTTGATGTGACAGAACACCGTATTGAATCACGTCACAAAACGTAAGCCAAGAAGCACTTTAATTCTGTCTGTCTCACGTGAGCGCTCCTTTAAAACTGCTCATCTGCTACTCATGTGTTCACACGATCGTCCTCCAAAGAAATATCTGGTTTTACTTTCTCTTCTTCTTCATTAGAGTCTTATATAAGCAAGCAACGTGTGACTCCTGTTTATGCCAACAGATACTGAGTGTGCATGTATAGTCATTTATAGATATGTGTTTACAGGCATGTTAGTACACAGAGAGGTTGTTCCTGAAGCACTTGCCTTAATGGAAACCACTTTCATTTTAAAATGTTTTTATTTTAATTTAATTTAAACATATTAGAACATGTGTGGTTGTGGTTTGAAATGGAATCCTGGAGTTTTGAAATAATTTTGCTTTTTTTAATGTTTATTTTCTTTTAGCAGCAATGATAGAGCTGAGAGTATGGGTAATATTTGGGAGATATAAAAAGACTGGCCTATACGCTGTTTTCATTATCGTTGTCTCTTTTTTGCTAACACGCAAAATGCAAATAAACAGCACAAATATCAGGAAATTCAACAGTTATGATTCACAGGTCCTCCTAACTCGATTCACCCGCTTCTCTTCTCACCCTCTCTTCCTCTGTGCCCTTGAGTAGAGGACGCTTAATGGAATACCCCATTAAACCATGCACTGAATCTCTGAGAGGGGGATGTCTGAGTTTGAGGATGTGTGCTTGTGTACATGCGAATATGTCTGCGAGTGTACTCTTTCCAGGCAGGATATTGGAGCTGATATCTCTGAGATAAACAAGCATTAGTCTCTGTCTGACACTCTATACATGGAGAGACCCTTCCGCTTAGGGAGCAGAAGAAAGAGCAGGGGAGAGAAAAGGCGCTGCGGGGAGCGTTAATGACAGTTGACCTTTGGTTCTGGACTAGGAGCCATCCCCTGATGAGAGCTTAGACAGAGACCAATGGGGGGTCTATCACTTCCCCCCTACTACCCCACCCCTTCTTCTGTCCCTTGGTCCTTCGCTTATCCAGAGGACAGTAATGCCCTCTGATAATACCACTATCTATTGCTCTATCCCTCTGTCCCTTATGCCTTGTCTGTGACTGCTACTGGATTAAAAGGCGAGATGATGGTCACTCAGTGCTGATAGATGCTGACTGGAATCTAAGTATAGAACCTGATAATGGAGTGGGAGCACAGCTGGTGGTGGACAGGACGGACTGTACCAGTGATCACTGCACGCACACTGTAAGCATAAATCAATGTCTCCTCGACTATTCAATTCTATTCAATCCAGCTTTATTTATATAGCGCCAAAACACAACAACAGTCATCTCAAGGTGCTTGATACTGAGAGGCAGAGACCCCACAATAGAAAACCCCAATGACCCTCTATTAACAGGCAGTTTGCAAAGGTGGAAAGGAAAAACTTGATTTTTATAAGAAGAAACCTCTGTCAGATACAGGCTCAGGGAGGGGCAGCCATCTGCTATGACAGAATGGGGTATGCTTTCTGTAGACAGATGCTTCATGAAAATTTTCAAGAAATTTAACTGTGAATACACAAATTCTTGGTGCCCTCTTTATCCCTCAATTCATTATTTCATGCAATCAAGAGAAGCTACCTGTATCTTTGTCATTATTTAACAGGAATAACAGGATATCTGTTTGAAATATTTCACCTTACAGATGAACCAAAGCCAGACGGTTAATTCTACTCGCAAAGTATGATAAACCAGAAGGTTCAGCCTACAGTTTTAGGTCCGCCTAAAGCCCTTGGAGTTCCATCGCCTGGTTTCAGGCAGCTGCAATCTCAGAAAAGAAAATCTGATGTAATATCTCATCAGTGACCTGTGTGACTTGTGACTTCAAGGCCTGTGACACGACAACGTTTATTTCTCCCTGCTGTCAGTAACCTTTGGCTCAACACCGTGCTGTGCAGCTGTGCAAATCAATACCTGCTTGTTGAAGCTGAGGGCTCGCAGGGCTTGTTTGACTGCCGCAAGATGTTCTCTACTCTGGGTAGAGGCTGTAGCTACTGGAGGGTTCTCCCCTGGAAGTCTTCCGCTAATATACCTGCAGTACGGATGGAAAAACACAACCTATAGTGAAGGATACTCATAAAATAAAGCTATTTTTTAATAAGTGACACATATTATCTTTATGGACAGGACACCATATATGCGTGTATTATATCAAGGCTTGTGTGAACTGTAGCTTGTGAGATCTAAATTTTCAGCAGCAACATAACCGAGAGTCATTTTTAAAACGTATTAAATCATTTAGTAATATAGAACATATAAAGCCCATGACAGCCGCATACCTATGAGCCAAGATGTTGTTGAGGTAAAGTGCACTCTTCTCCTCAGCTGAAAGGCCCTCAGCCATCAAATAGAAGATTTTGAAGCTGTGTTGTTGAGCAGGCAGGTGGACTAGACGGGACTTCTCCAGCATATAGGTGTATACATGGGCTTAAACATTAAAATGTGATCATAATTCAGTAACAGGGGAGTCCAAATCACGTTTTAACAATGGCAGTTGTGAAAAATGTAAATCTGTGGCCACTACTGAAAGACCAGTCGACAGGTATCAAATAAACTGGAGTAAAAGAAAAAAAAAAGGTGATTCACATAAAAAGAAACAGACATATAGGATTTTGCTGCCCTCTGCTGGTGTGCAACTGATCTTGAAGAAAGTGGATTTAATAGTAGAGTATCTTAATCACAAATACAGTGGCTGAGAATGTGAAATTTACTCTGTTATTCTGACAATAATTTTAATAGTCAAGAATAAAATGTGTGGAACAAAAATGGTAAATATTTTATTTTGTGTGAATCGAATCAGAACAGAGACATTCTGATTGAAGTTTTTTGTTTTGATCCGTGCAACAGAGTCACATCCAGCGCTATGGTTGCGTGAAATGCAGGTTACCTCTGAGTGGTGTCCTCCTCTTATCACAGTATTGGATCGTCAGCAGCTTGATAAAGCGGCTTGAGTTGCTGTTCCTCTGGGTCTTAGCGTGGCCAAAGGCTTCCAGTACACAGTTGACCTGCATTTCCCATCAATCATATGACATTATGGTCTCTCAGAATTCCTTTATTATCTATATATTTCTATTACTTAAAGCATCTCTCATACATGCCTTGCAAAAATGGAGCCCTGCTTCCACTTTCTACCACTAGATGTCAGTGTACATCCATTATTTGAGCACTCAAAACAGCATGCTACCAGAATTATAAGAGCAAGCTGACCCAGATATTAACTGCATAACGATGACTTCATCCAAACCCAGGCTACATGTTGTTTTGTTACACATAGTTACATGACTGACAAACTAACTGGAAGACGGAGTGAGTGCAGCGCAGGTGCCTCACGTTTTAAACGCTTTCAACAAATCTGAACCACAGCAACTGGAAACACAACAAGAATCTGAATCCTTCACGAGGTGAAGGCTTTCGCCTTTCAGGACACTTAATTCCTGAACTTGCTAAGAAGCTTTTATGTTTCAGTAAAAAAAAAAAAAACTTCAGTCCATATATGTTTTATGTCTATCTGTCTTATCTCTTCTTTGGCGTTCTTAGCTGTAGCCTCTCCAGATTCACAAGAACATATCCTATTAAGGGCATGTGATCATTAGTGCTCTACAGTCTTTTTTTTTGACAATCCCTCTTCAGGCTGTAAGTGTTTATGATGCCATCAAACAGTTTATTAATGCGCAAATGGTTTATCTGACAAATGAAGAGCTAACAAGCAGAGAAGAAAAGACTACAGTACTGTGGTATGCTAATCCATACATTTATTATTTCCCCTGCCACAGCGACAGAGGAACAGTAGGATATATTCACACAGTTATGAGCACTGCTTCGCTGTGTGCTATGTTATTTTGGAGGAGTTTTTTTAATCACAGGGACTGCAGGACAAAGAAGTAATAAGCACAGTGAGACATAAGCATCAGGAAAACGCACAAACATTAAGTTTGTCAGTGGATTAGTATTGCAGCATTTTGCCGTTGCGAATAACAAATGATACATGAGTGCTTAGTCACACATGCAGCACATGGTCCTTAGTTATGACAGGCTGCAGGACACCCAACCCACTGACTGACTGAAGTGTAAAATAAAAGAACAGCTTGTAGACAGATAAGTCCTAACTTACATGTTTCATTCTGGGCTCCAGCATAAAGCCTTTGGTGCTGGAGCGGGCTGTCAGGTGTCTCACTATGTGCTTGCACGCCTCTGTTTTTCCAGAGCCACTCTCGCCACTATGGAAACAAAGGGAGAGACAAAAGATGCAGATTTAAAGTAATTTATATCTCTGGTGGTACATAAATTGTTTCACATGCCTTTGCCCTTACTGTTTCAAGTTCTAATGCTGCAGCATTTTATACTGCTTCAGCCTCAACTCTTCAATCTTCAGTACAATGAACATGCATTGCTGTGCTTACAAATCTATCCATCAGTCTACAGAGCCGTGAAAAAGAATTTCCCCCCTTCCTGATTTCTTTGCACATTTGTTGCACTTAAATAATAATCTGAGTGAATGCAGGTTTTAAATTTTGATTTCATTTATTAAGGGGAAAACAAGTTATCCAATTATCCCCTACACATAGTTACTGGTTTTACCACCCTTGGCAGAAAAAACTGCAATCAAGCATCTGTAATAACTATGAGTGAGTCTTTGACATCCTTGTGGATTAATATTATTACTGTTTTTCAGGGCACAAGCTGATGGCTGGACATACTCCTTCAGGGCTTTCTAGCAGAGAGCAGACTTTGTGGTTCCATCATTTACAGCAGGTCATCCAGTTCATGAAGCAGCAAAGCATCCCCAGATCATCACACTACCACCACCATGTTTGGATGATGTTCTTTTTATTAAATGCTGCTACTTTCTTACTTTCATGTCTTCCGTCCACAGAATATTTTCCAAAAATGTGAAAATATGTGAGACGAGCCTCCCATGAACTCTCCCATGGATGCCATTTTTGCCCAGTCTCTTTCTTATTGTTCATTCATGAACTCTTGACTGAGACAAGTGAGGCCTGCAGTTCTTTAGATATTGTTCTTGTTCTTTTGTGACCTCCTGGATGAGTCGTTGATGCACTCTTAGAATAATTTTGTTAGGCCGTCTACTCCTGGGAAGGTTCGCTGCTGTTTGAGCTTCTCTCCATTTGTAAATAATGGCTCTCACCGTGTTTCACTGGAGTCCCAAAGCCTTAGAAATAGCTTTGCAACTCTTTCCAGACTGATAGATGTCAATGACTGCTTCTCATCTGTCCTTGAGTTTCTTTAGATTGTGTCATTATGTGTTATTTTTTGACATCTTTTAGCCTTCTTCACTTTAGCATTTATTTAAGTGATTTCTTGATTCAAAAAGTCTGGCAGTAATTCTGGTCGAGTGACACGGGTGTATTTAAATGGGATTTTCTTTCTTTTCTTTTTTTCCAACAAATGAAAACAGAAAGAGTAATGGGAGCAACTTAAACTTTGTGATACACTGCTGTATATGTGCCTTGGAAGACTAAGTGTGACTTATTAGTCATCAAATTTCTACCTATTGACGTCATCCCTTTAGGGATTCCCTCCCATTAAATTCATAATCTGTTCTTTCAATAACGTTGCTCCACTGAGTGCCCCTTTTCGCACCACTAAGGCCACAACTTATCTGGCAGTGAGGTCCTGTTTTTAATTTTCTGTTGAGTGGATATTAAGTCTGGCATAAGGTACCTCTACAGTACATGCACTGACACTCTCCGACATGCAGAGAGTTGCGACCCACATAGTAACACCAAGCAGATGGCTCGAGAAGGTCAGAAGCTTGTACTAATGACCGCAGTGTGCTGTATTACAGTTTGTCTATGTGTACGTGCGTCGCTTTATTTCCTACTAACAACCCTGCTGAGTGTTAAGTCCAACGGTCTTTTCGCTTGTCTTTTCATTTACCAGTTTTTATTAGATTTCAAGGGCATTTTGTTAGAACACTTGCCTCGGGGGATCTTGGAGACTGATTGCCAATAAATGTGTATAAGTGTGTCTGTGCTTCGGAGCGTGTGCGTGCATGTGTGTACTTCAAGAAACGAGAAGAACCACAGTGAAACAGAAAGCTTGAACAAAAGCAAAACAAGAGGAGAAATGATAAAGGAAAGGACTGAGGGGACAAAGGATGCGTGTACATGTGAACAGTGCAAAGTTTCCACGGCTCCGTGTGTGTGTGGGGGTGTGCATGTTAGTGAGATGGATAGCCTATGGCGAGGGTGCATTAAGTCTCTGCCAGATTGGTTACAACTCAGCGGGAATGTCACTGGAGAGTCGGAACAGGATTTAATTGCAATCAGGGAGCTGCCTGAGTCCAGTCGAGGACAAAGAACAAGACGCCGCATTGCTCCCAGTAAACATACATCGTAGTGTGAACACTGAACAAGCCTACAGCTCAGCTCAGGCTGAGAGCTATTAACCTCTCAGGGAGTGCTAAACAGGTGCGTGGCAGAGGGGTGCATACAACCAGGTGGCCGCCTTAACTTTCACTCACTATTATTCCCGCAGACATTCAACTTTAGGGACTTTTTATGTTACATTATCCTGAAGCAGACCATTCAGTGACTGTACAAATGAATGAGCAGCAGGTGTACCTCAAGATGAAACACTGCGGGCGTTTCTCCTGCTGCATCATGTGATAAGCTCTCTCTGCTGAGGAGAAGATGTGAGGCGGCAGAGAAGAGCAAAGGCGACCCGTGGAGCTCAGGTACAACTGACTGACCTGAGGAAGAGAAGATGTTACATAAAACGGACACAAACATGGCCTAGCTAAGAGATAAGGATTCAGTTTCACCAAAACAGAGAAAGCATACTGGGTATCACCTTCTGTGTGTCACTGTAATTGTGTATCAACTTCACAAAGAAGCGGTCTTTTACCATCCTGTTTAAGTCATTAGAATCTGTAGTTTTACACTACAATAATATTTATCAAAACCAAAATGAAAAATTGAAAAAAAAATCCAAGAGGGATAAATAAGAAAACTTGTCTCTGAGAGTATCTGTCCTATTAAACTGTGAGTCGACTGTAATGTCACAATGTGTGCCCTGTGCCAGTGTTAGTGGCTGTGGCAAAGGGGGATGGTTTTTGGACCACCAGACCAGAGGAGGTGACAGACGGCCAGCAGATCACACATGTTGTGACATATGTCCTTCTTACACTAGCTCCTCCCTGCCCCCTCACATCCTCTCAGCTGGGTATAGATGCCTGGAGTGAATCCAGACAGAGGCAGGAATGGGACAGCCAGAGAGGGGCTTGGCTTCATTCTGTCAGGGTAGCAGAAGATCCATGAAACCCCTCCTGGGATCCACATGGGCAAGCCTCTACCTGCCAAAAAGTGAGCTATTTCAAAATGAGCTAAGTCCTATTTAAAATAAACCAAAACCCTCTTTATTATGATTGGGCTCACATGTTAATAAAGAACTAAAGACCCGTTACTGACAGGCTTCTCTACTGGTTTATCGTAAATATGCTATTTTTTTAAGGTGAGAGGTAGCGTGTATGTATGTGCCTGAGTGCTTCTGTCTTCCGTGGCTGATGCAGAGTCAGCCTTACGCAGGGTAACTGACAGGAAGACTGCATTATTTATCAACTACAAGGTCCATTTCATCTGCTTATTCCCTGCTTATTGTACCGCATACATGCCCCATTTATCATAAACTTCCATAAGCATAGTATGTAGTTTGTCAAATATAAAGTCATGAATTTCAAGCGTGAGGCCAAATATGTGCACATACCTGTAAGTTCACTCAAATGCATTCTTACCAAAGTGGAATAGATGGGCAGCTCCTTGTTTGGATTGACCAGCAGAAGGATGTGGCCAATGTAAGTCTAGAAAAGAGCAGAAAATACACCTAAGTCATCTTCACTAAAGCAACAAGTTCATTCAGTGTTATAAAATATATCTCTGATGGACCATTTTGACACAAATAGGCTGACACCGCTTAAAATTACTCTCAACCTGCCTAAAGCCAACACTGACCTAGAAATAAAAGTGCTGTCCCACTCTGTCCTTACCAGCTACATTAACTGTGTGGGCATTTTCCATTGCTATAAGGTAATGTTAATGTCGTGGAAGAGAAAGGTCAAGCAGGGACCTCCAGCAATAACCCCCGTAATGACCTTTCTCTAATAAAGACAACAAATCTGTTCTCTCACAGGCAAACCCTGAAGCTATCTAGATAAAAAAAAAACACCAGCTCCAAATTTCTGACCCCTTCCACTAAACTGCTAACCCTCTGTTCCAGACAAAGAGTCCTGGAGGCTGTTTGAAAGCTAAGACTCTGTTGTTCCCTAATAGAGTACGGGCTAACATTGTGTAACATGCTGCTCTGACCTAAGAACATGGCTTCAGTTTAATGACTTGAACACATTCCCAATTCTTGAAGACACAGAGCAAAATTTACAATATGTTCTTCATGTGTTTTTTCATTAAGTGTTTAAAACTTTCCATAGTTTTTTTTTACCATCTAACTCTGTTGTTTAATCTCATGACATGCTTGTCAATAATCAGAGTCTTCTGTTCTGTATTTCTTCAGTTCCTTGCCACTCTCATCGGGGGTTTAGCGGTGGAATGGCAGAAGGCAGTGACAGCTCATCAAAGCCCCATCTCTGACCACCCTGCTAGGCACATATGGAGCCCTCGGTGCCTTTGTTCTTGCCTTCATCATATCTCGGCTGGTTTCACCTTCTTTCTAAAAACTCAAACTACTTCGCACATAATATCAAGTGCATACGGACGAAATATAATGAACGGGAATAAAACGTCTCTTATTTTTCTCATCAACGTCTTGTTGCAAACTTTATGTTTAAAGCCAGTCAAGCTAGCGTTTGCTTCCTTGAGGGGTTTAAGAATATCTTAGCTGCATATAAAAAGAAACACAATGAATGACTGTTTCTTGTGCAACTCTACAATATTAACATAGGTATGCTCCCATATTATTGTGATAGTTGCACATTTCAGTGTCTTCATTTAAATCTAGGGCACCTCCTGTACCCAGCTTTCAATATTCTGAATTCCAATCGTTTCTCTTTTCTTCATCCACCGCTTGCACTCCCTTTCACTGTCATCTCCTCATCCTCGTCTCCCGCTGTGACTAACCCTAATGTCTGTGGCCCATCTGGGTTTCGATAATAACAGACTATCACTGCCTCTTCACAGAGAAGAGAGCGCACTGATAGCTCCACATTGATCTGGTTCCAGTCTTTATAGAGCTCCATCCCTGTGGAGCTGGAGTGGAGTTTTAAAGGAAAGGGCTATAAAACAGAGATACAAAATGGACCAATTGTTGGAGATGAAGGCATTTTACTTCTAATTTTTTTCTCCCAATCGATCTAAATGGTATCGATTTCGCAGTTGTCATGTGTCTCAGTATTTGTGTTGGAACGGGATACGACACTTACTGTGCAAAAGTCTTGAACAACTCCTCATTTCTTTATATTTTGCTTCGAAGGAGCCAGATATTCTTGTAATGTCTTCAAGTGATCTTGAACAATAGTTCTCTGAAGGTTTTTCAGTTTTTCTTTTGACATTAGCCAGCTTTTTCCACTTGTTTTCATTCCATTTTCAGATTAATATCTATATTACGAAGTGTCAGTCCTAAAAAACAATCTACAACCGATGCAAAGTGTCTGAAAGTCTGAACCTATTTCCCATTTTCAATGCAAAATATAAAGAAATGAGAGGTGGCTCAAGAACCGTGTTTATTATTTAAAGATAAAATCCAGCAATGTTTTAGATCATTTAAACTCTACTGATCATTCCCCACTTTTAAGCATTTAAAACAGAAGTTTAAGTGCATTGGATGCATCAGCAGGGATGACGAGACAGAGTACCGGGCTGTGGTCGACTCCTTTGTCACGTGGTGTGAGCAGAATCATCTGCAGCTCAACGTGGCAAAGACCAAGGAACTGATCGTGGACTTCAGGAAGACCAGGAAACACTTGACCCCTGTTTCAATCCAGGGGGTCAGTGTTGACATTGTGGAGGACTATAAATACCTTGGAGTACACATTGACAATAAACTGGACTGGGCTAAAAACACCACAGCACTTTACAGGAAGGGCCAGAGTCGTCTCTATTTTTGAGGCGACTGAGGTCCTTCAACATCTGCCAGAAAATGCTGAGGATTTTCTATGAGTCTGTGGTGGCCAGTGCGATCCTCTATGCTGTTGCATGCTGGGGAGCAGGCTGAGGGTCGCAGATGCCAACAGACTTAATAAACTGATCCGTAAGGCCAGCAATGTTGTGGGGATGGAGCTGGACTCCCTCAAGGTGGTGTCGGAGAGGCGGATGCTGTCCAAGATAAAGACAATGTTGGATAACACCTCCCACCCACTCCATGACATGTTGGTCAGTCACAGGAGCTCGTTCAGTGAGAGACTGAGATTACCGAAAAGCACCACTGAACGACACAGGAAATCATTCCTGCCTGTGGCCATCTCCCTGTACAACGCATCCACTTAACACACTGTTTGCTGCTACAACTACACATGTTTCTTTTCCAAATATTTATTTATAAGTGACTTATGTATGTATGTATGTATATATATGTATATATTGTACTATTCTTAGTTAGCATATTGTCTGTCTTGTCTTAATGTTGGTTTATAATGGAGCACTGTAACAAAAAATAATTTCCCCCAGGGATCAATAAAGTATTCTGATTCTGATTCTGATTCTGATTTGTAGGTCCGAGTTTACAAACTGTGAATTCAAATGAATTTACCAGTCCTGTATACTGGTGTCACAGCATTAAGATGGTATAGTTGGTTTTCCTTTGTTTTATGCAGTGAGCACAGTGAATCAAAACCGTTCACTTCAAGTTTTAGCAGTTTTTGACTGTTAGACATTGACTGTAGAAAATTACAGAAAATATCGTTATGCTTTGACTATACAGCAATATTTGTTGGTTTTGTTCTTCTCTGAATTTGTAAAAATGAATACAGAATATAAAAAACATAATATAATCTACATTATAGTGCTCAGAATCTGTGATGCACTGTGCATGGTGTTTATATGTGTTTACTGTACATGCATATATGCTTAAGGGAAGGTGACTGTAGAGCCCACGGGTATAAAAAATGAGTGATGTGATCCAAACACCTAGAAAATTACCAGGGTATAAAACACACTCAACAAATAAACAACTAGATGTCATTGTTAAGCCCATGAGAACATGTGTTTGTCAGTGCTCTCTGTGTGCTCTGGGCTCTAATGAATGTTTAATGTTGAGTGGAATTCATTCTTAAGTAGCACAAGGACAGACGAGTCTTACGTAGATTTGGTCGTTGCCAAAACGTTTCTGCATCTCGTAGAGAAGGCTGCTGTCAGTCAGCTCACTGAGGGACGCCAGATCGTCATTGGGTGCCGGAGGCATCAGTTTCACCTGAAGAAAATACACTTAGTTTAATGCAAACTCTCACAGTGTTCTCAGAAAGGATGAAAGGGCTGAAAAGATAACTTGAGGATTTACAATGGCCATGGGTCTCAAATGCTTAATTTTGGAGCTATCTATTCTTAAAATGGTGTGAATAGACAACAGAGAGGATGGATAATGTTTGAAATGTATTTATTTGTGACTGTTTTATTTGAAATTTGAAAAGAAAAACATAATGTGACACATGCAATGTCATGATGTCAAATTTCAGAGTTTTGTAAACAACATGCAAGTAAACCCTGTGTTTCATATAACTATGTACAAGTCTGTATGCTTTATTTGTTTATATTTTTCTTCTCCTTGAGGACAAATAAACTGTCTTTATGGAACTTTCTTTCTTCTGTCTTGCGTAAACCCCTCTGGACTTTTTGGGATTTTCTGTGTACTTACTGTCTTACTCAGATTTTTGCAGCATGTAACATGACAAGGTACCTGCTCCAGTTTGCTGGCTCCAGAGCCAAAGGGGCTATCTAGGCCATTATCCTGAGAGGGTTGTCGCCTCAGTGCTCCAGCTGCCTCTCTGAACATGGCACATTTCTCCAGCAGACTGTCCCGCTTAGCGATTGGGATACCCAGGGGGTTCCTGTATAGGGTGGCATAGAAGATGGTTAGGCAATAAGGTGAACTAGAGCAAAAGAGAAAAAAAAAAAGGTTTATAATATGTGACAATTTTTGTGATTTTGAAAAATGTGAACCCACAAGTTCTTGACAGGGGTGTTGAGGTCATGTGAACCACTATCATAGCGCTGGTCAGTGGAGGGCAGAGGAGCAGAGGGGTCCTTCAGCCTCTGTTGCCAGCTCTCTTCTGCATTCAGCAGCATATCTGCTATGGGCTCTGACACTGCAATATCTAATGACATGATATAAAATATGAGATAAATTATTTGGGAATCTGAAATTCACAGAGGCATGTTTAATTCGATAGAGATACAAATTTTAAAATGTCAGATTTGTACGATCTAGTTCTATCATCTAAAGATACTGAGAGTGTAATGATGTTGTTCAAAAGACTGTAAGGGTCACACCACTCCACAGGTACACCTTTTTGTTCTCTTCCCAAGCTTAAACCTCCTTTAAAATTTGTGCGAATGAGTGGTCACTGGTGGAGAATACACTCTGTGGATCAATGCAACCGTGCTTCAGATGAAGGAGTTAAGATCGTTTTTTTGTAATGAGGTCTAAGAGGGCACGAGGGATTGGAATGGCTTGAAGCTGTCTTTTTATTTCTGTGTAGGCACTCATCTCTTGTTCTGACTTTCTTTCGTCATTTGGACGGGTGTGGGGCTCTGGACTCTGAGTCTCAGTCTCTAAGGGCTTGTCTCACTTCTTTTCTAAGACTGCATGCTAGAAGGGGTATCGACTAAGACCCAAGTGAGGCAGTCAGAGTAGTGATTACACGATGGGAGAAAGTGGTAAGAGGCAGAAATGACATTTTATCCCACAATTTAGCGGTTAGGAGGTAAATCCAAAGTCCACATACAAAAAACATATCATCACTACGACACAACGAACTATTAAGATTTCTAAACACTCTCACAGGATAGTATCCCAGTGGTTCTTTGCTCTTCAACAGCATTAGGAACATTGATCTGGATCATTAGCTAGTAATGGCTTCAACTCTAAAATGACAGGTTTTTTAATGTAAGGCCTCAATCTCACAGGCCCAAAGGCCGGTTAGTCATCTCCTGACAAAAATTATTATTCCCCAACCAGTTGGCAAGTGGTTGCTAGTAGTGGCTGACTCTCACTGGGTGAAATCGGAAATATGGGTCCTGCATCCAACACCTCATTGTGATTGCTTGGTAACATGCTTGCATGGAAACATTCACTATTTATTCTTCAAAATAGTGGGAGGGAAACCAGAAATGGAGAAAATCCATCTTCAAAATAAAAGTTGAAACTCACAGCTATAACCAACACATTTATAAAAGTACAACTTTTACTTTGAAGGTGAATGTTGTCCGTTTCCAGTTTGCACCCCACTTTTCACACGGAAAGCCAACATCTTCCATGCGCACTACTGGCGACTGAGTCAAACCACTGTTCGATGGTTGCCAACAGGCCTGTTTGACTGAGGCCTACGCACTGACAGCGAGCTGTTTATTCAGCACGGTTAGATTTGGATTCCAGGACACAACTTCAAGAGCAAACGTCAAAACTGGGTGGCTGTAGCTCAGGTGGCAGAGCAGGTCAGCCACTAATCAGAAGGTTGGTGGTTCAATCCCAGGCTGCATCCTGGCTGCATGCCAAATATCCTTGGGCAAGATACTAACCCCATGTTTGCCTACTGGTGGTGGTTAGAGGGCCCGGTGGCGCCAGTGTCCGGCAGCCTCACCTCACCAGGGCAGCTGTGGCTACAATGTAGCTTGCCATGGCCAGTGTGTGAATGTGTGTGTGAATGGGTGAATGACTGAATGTAGTGTAAAGCGCTTTGGGGTCCTATGGACTAGAAAAGCGCTATACAAATGCAGGCCATTTACCATTCCTTCGTAGGAAAGATCAGATGTAACATGACAACAAAATTCATCAGATTTTGGTGAGCTAGACGACCATAGCAAATGAGTCGCATTGTTTTCAAGCTCATCATTAAACCACTGCGTGACGCCTCTTCCCCTGTGGATGGAGAATTGTCACCCAGGAAATGTTCACTTCTATAGTAGTGAACCAAATGTGCTCAACGGTTAATTGTCTCTGCTGATTCTATTATTACTGCAGCATGCTAACACCCAATTATTCTTTTAGTTCTGAAAAGACAAAAAACAAACAAACAAAACATGCTTTCGGTAATAATATGCTACCTCTATGCCCATTAGCAAATGATTTCCACCGGTGGTATATAATTACTGCTACCAACCACATTTAATCAGGACAAAAATGTGTTTGTGTTTAGCACAGGGTGTTATTGTTTTCTTTTTGTGCATGCCTCTTTGTTTTATATCATCACAGTGACTGTTAATGCTTTTGAATGGGCTGAGTTGAATAAGACAAAATTTATGCCCCTACTTCTTTTCGCATCATTACCTCCCACTCTCTCAAATGTGTTTGCCCATTCCCGCTGCCACGTCTGTGTGTGTTTCTAGGCACACGTGTATATTTGTGTGAAATACGTTACCGTAGGGCTTGTCTTGGTTGCAGTTCAGCAGAGTCGGGTTCGCGCCATGCCTTAGGAGCTGGCTAACAATGCTTGTCTGTAAGAGATGGGACAAACACAACCATTTTCCATTAAAACCTACAAAAACATGTCATTGCAGGTCTGTACATCCTCCTGTACAAGGTCACGGGAGATGAGGCGGTTATACCTACATTTATAGTTACCGTGAAGAGAAGAGTGGGTATGCAAAAATGTAGTACGGTTTACCGAGACAAACCGTACTAGCAACTCGCAGATGTTACACACGGCATATGTCACACATCACAAGTCTACACAAGTGTTGCCTCTGACTGAAGAGCTCCTTTAATAATGAGCCCATCTCCCATTACATGTCACAGTGAAAGAGCCCCATAGCTGTCTACTATCATTTCTGCACAGAGCGACTGTCTCTTTCACCACCCGTCTTTGCTCACAAAGTGTGATGCACAGCTTGATATGGATAAAGTATTTTGGATTAGTATACAGCAGATATTTTTAGTGGGACTCAAATTACTGGAAAGAAGGATTACATTTTTCACTACAACGTGGGAGAGATGCAATGAGTTTAAGGACAGCTCCATTTAACTCTAACATAACAAGCGCTGTTAAAAGAGAGCACTTTACATTTTTATGCAGCAATAACTGTAATAATGTTCTAACTAAAGGTTACCATCCAGCAAAACTACCAATAAACAGAAAGTGTCCTTCAGTGAGAACAAAATATTTAAATGTTCCAATTCCAAAAAATCTTGGGATGCTGTGTAAAATACAAATAAAAACTGAATGATTTATAAGACTCATAAACCCACAGATAGATAATAGAGGCTTAGAATAATATCAAATGTTTAAAGTGAGAAAATGTAAAGCCTTTAAATGAGCTTTGGCCCAGAGAAGACATCAGTGTTTCTGAATCACGCTCACATTTGGTTTCTTCTTCGCAATGATAGGGCTTTAACCTGCATTTGTGGATAGCACTTTGAACAGTGTTCACAGACTGTTCCTGAAGCCCTGAGATTACCATTACAGAATCATGCCTGTTTTTAATGCTGTGCAGTCTGAGGGGCTGAAGATCACGGGCATCCAATACTGATTTACAGCCTTGTTCCTTGCACCCAGAGCTTTCTCCAAATCCTCTAAATCCTCTGATGATATTATGTACTGTAGATTATGAGATATTCATGAGACAATTATGAGTCTCTACAATTTTACATTGAGGAACATTACTCTGAAATTGTTCCACAATTTGAAGACACATTTTTTATTGATCTGTGAATGTCTTCCCATTTTGCTCTTCTGTACATTTTGCACAGTGTTGAAACTTTTAGACCTCTACTTTGTAAAGAAAAGAAAAGAAATCAATAACAAGGCCCTCCATAGATTTTACACATCAAGGTTAGTTTTGTGAGCTTATAAATGCAGTTGTGTTTTGTTTCCTGCAGGGCCAGAGGAGGTTTCCAAGTCTGGGGATTGTCCTGGGAACAACAATGTGAAAAGAGTCTGACAAATGACACAATCAAATTGCGATTTACCAAAGGTCAGGATATCTTGGTCTCTGGAGTGCTGATGTTTATCATTTTATTCAATACTACTGCCCAACTTCATGCATCTCCAATACCAAATGTACCAACATACTTTTCTGTAAGTCACAGTTCACATTTCAGATTCTTTGAAGTACTGCATAGCAACAAGGCATCATCAAAGTACATGGGGGAGTGACTCAGCACATTCTGTAGACTTGCTCTGACCCATGTCAACAGCTGTTCAGCAATCAGTTTACAGCGTCTCTACTGTACACAAATGCCGTCAGCGACACTCGCGCTCTATAAATACTGACAGCTCGTCAGCAGCACCACGAGATCTGAACTCCTGAGTGGGTCAAAGATTAAAGGAGCACTACGAAATGGCTATCAGTACACGGCGGTTCAGCAGGGACAAGGCAAACTCAGTGGTGATGTAGATTCCCACAGACAGAGTAGTTTTGGGGAAAAGCCCACATGTCCCTTTAATATTTGTCACACAATGCAAAACCTGACATTAACATTAAAGTCCTTCAGAAAAATGAACCTGTTATATAAAATCATGATGGTGCTATATTTCCACAGCCTTCACGTGTAACTTCATTATAAAACTGAATAAATTAATCCAAATCCCTGCAGCGCCGCATTTTAATACCCTGTCACTTAGTTGCAAAATCCAACACAAAAGTATTTAAAAATGTCTCCCTCGAGAGAACACAAGTTGAAAAGCCCTGAGTCAAATCAGGGAAGCCAAGAGCCAGGGTCTAACTTATCACAAGACCGAGAGAGGTAAGCTTAATTAGCTACAGTAATAAGGTCATACATCTTCTTAAAGGGTCAGTCTAGTGTGAATACCACACTCCACATGGGGTTTTTAGGTCTAATGCACCGGTCGGTGTTACAGTTTCCAGCGAGTCTTTACAAAGAAATCGTCTGCTTGGGACTCGTGTCAGAAGAACTTCTTACTAGCAGAACTAACGATTTACTTAGCTGGATACTTGCACACATTTGCAGCCATAAAGTCTTGTCCCAGCCACACTAACCAGTATAAGAAGAAGACACACACACAGCATGGCTTTTGTAAAAACAAAGACATGGAAGAAGGTTAAAATTCAATTTAAAAAGAGAATTATGTGGAGTTATACATTTAAGCTTACTGAATAGCTATAATCTGATCATGAAGCAACTACAGAGAGGAATTCAGTAAGAGGGGAGAGAGAAAACTAAATCAGAAGATCCCTGTGAATGAAACTGGGAAAGGCTAAAAGGCACAGAGATAAAGAAAAATATTTTTAAAACACACAGGAAAAAAACATAGCGTGAGAACAGATAAACCAAAGACAGAACGACTCAACACACCAAATGAATAAAATCTCTTTGTCAGCAGCCAAGCACACAGCCCAGAATGTAATTAAATAACTAGTTGGGTCAGCAAGATCTGAATGTGATCAGTCTCCTCTCTTCAAAGCTGGAACCCTCCCAAACCAGCAGATCCTATTCCCTTCCTGTTCCACCATCTCATCTGGAAATCAATCTCCTCTCTTCTGAGAGAAGCCATTAAACTGCTAATCTAGAGTGCTGTATGCATTTGTTGTAACAAATTCATACACAGAGTCCTCCTGTGTGCCTGTTTCTGATCGACTGAACGAAGAAGAACAGCTTATCAGAGTGTGTATAAGGTAACGGGAGGCGCGCTTCTCTCTGGAATAATCTATCACAATTTTTTCTCATCTTTTCATTACTGAGTTTAACTTAGGGGACTATTTAATCAACGTCCATAACATGCTGGCTTTCTGTGCAGCTGTGGGTTACCTGTCCATATTTAGCAGCCAGGTGGAGAGGGGTCCAAAAGTTGTTGTCAGCAGGATGAGGATCTGCACCGCTCTGCAGTAGCACAGACACCACTTCTCTGTAACCACTCGCACATGCAATGTGGAGCTTCAGAGAGAGAGAGAGCAGCAAAGAGAAATTGTAAGTTTAAGTGCAACAGAAAGCTTTTACATCCTAACACATGTGTGCTTTTACATACCAGAGTAATTCCTTCTTCATTGGGCTGATTGAGGCTTCCCCCTGAGGCTACAAGCTGTCTAACATCAGAGAGCATGGTGCTGGGTCGCTGAATCTTCATGGCATGCATGGATGACACATCCACACCTAAAAAAAACACCACCATAACTGAGAAACTTGTGTTACAGTAAGTCTTTAGTTGGCATGCTTAAAGGAATAGTTCCAAATAATCTGACTCATTATCTTGCAAAGAATTGAACGGGAATGTTGATAAAACTCATATTTCAGTGGATAACGCTGGAACCAGGAAATGGTTAACTCAGCATTGCATGAAGGTTGAAGCAGCTAACGCAACAAAGGGGAAAAGCCTACATCTCACTGACAAATGCACTGTAAGCTAGTTTCCCAGACATGCCTTGCCCTAGACTAAGAGAAATATTCAATAAAGCTCTTGGCTGACAAAGGGTTTGAGTCTAAAGCTAAGCTTGTCTGGAAAGAGCCATTACTTGTTTTACTTATTCTGTGCAAAAATGTTAACATAAAAGAAACAGTTTTGATGTAGTTTGACCCCAGACAATTTTTGACCTTTTAACTGCAGCAATAAATCAAAGCCAGATACATATTCTTTTAAACTTACTAGACTAAACTGCTTAAAACAAAGTGGTTTACTGACTTTTGCAGTCTAAAGGAATGAGCTACTTGGTTGTAGCTCATTCCTACACTCCTGCAGAGCTAAACTGTTTACGGGACTAAATCTGAGATTCACGCGTTGTTTTATATTAGCAGTTGTGAACGACATCATATAAGGAGAGAGCTGGCCCTGCGCTCAACAATGAAAATTAAAATACCGACACTTGCTCCACCCTGTGACCTCTGTAACAGGGCCATCAAAGACAAACAGAGGTTTACAAGCACATCTATCCCAAACAATGAAGATCTATGTATCTTTTCATAATTAAATACACACTGCACACCTTACTTTGGTTGCTGTAATAATGTAGATTGATTGTCAGTCAATCTATATTTCAGTGCGATAAGCTTGAGGGCACTAACTAATAGGACTTTTCCAAACAGCCGTGATTAAATCAGGTAATCAATAGTACTGTGTTTCCAAACAAATTAGAGCCTCTGGGTGTGGAGGCCTTTAAGACATACTGATAGTAAAAAAAATCCACAGCTTGCCAGAAACTGTGGGAATCCAGTGGTGGATTAAACCGTCAGTGACTTAACGAGAACAGTGAGAATGAGCTAGACGATTTTTAAAGAAACCGATGGCATGGCGGAGTACAAAAAATATCCTGATGCAGACACACACGGAAAGTCTGTCGTTCTCCTATAACCACGCAAACTTGATGGGGTGAGAGCGCATGCAGCCAGGTTGCTATAGCAACAGAGGCTGAGCGAGGCTGTGTGAGAAAAAGTATGTTTTATGGTGGCAAAACCAAATGCGATTGGGCGGTGTGGTGTGGTGGATGGGTGGTGGCGGGTTGGGTTGATGGGGGAGGGTCAGAGGTGCTGCAGGTTGGCGCGGTGGGGGGGGGGATCACCACAGGGGCTGACAGACAGAAGCAGACTCAAAAGACTCAGAGGCTGGATGTGCGCCCATGTGCAGGGTGGTCTGAGCTCGATGAGTTCGCCGTCTCCACTCACAAGCTTGCATTTGTCATGTTATTCAGCGCAGCCTCATGTGTGGCAGATGGGTGAGGGAGAACCCTCAATCATTGTCATCATCTGTTTCTATCCAGCTTTGTCAGCATGATTCCCGTTCTTCATTCTCTGCATGTCTCTCGATATTTTTTTCTATATATTTTCTTCTCCTTCTGCCCTCATGCGTCTCTGCCTATACCGCTTTCCTCTCCCTGCGCCTCTGTCTCTTTAATTTCCTACTTTGCTGTTAACCTTCACCTTTTTTAAGAGACTAGTGCCCCATTCACGATATAACAGAAGTGAGCCATTGGATTTGTTTGGGAAGAGTTAACACACATTAAATACCAACTTTACCGTTTTCCTCCAAGTGTTTTCGGAGGATGTAGCTGGTCTCCGTCCCCTCAATGGCGTAGTCCAGAGGAATGTTTCCATTGATGTCCTGAAGCAAAACGTTCACTCCAGCCTTCCAAACGCAGGACAGAAAAAAGACAAGAAAAATAATTTACGAGCAAACTCTGTTTAAGCATGTACCCTGAGCCATTCATCAGACTTGAAGAGATGATAAATTGGGAGTAATTATCTTGGCTTCCCAGAGAGATATACCTGAGCAGCGCCATGGAGATGCTAACAGACAATACACTGAATTAAAGCCATTATTAAATCACTGCCTGGGGGGGCAGTAAAAAGTGAGTGCATTGGTTAACACTGCCTGGGATCACACAGGTCAGTGTGTGTGTGTGACAAGATTAATATGTGTTCATTCAACAGGGATGCTGTCAGAGCATAAGATAACACAAGAGGCCTCCCTCTGGAACCTTTAATGATTGCCTGATGACAGTCGTCAACAATCAGTGTTCACTCTATGGTTTATTGTTTCTCTTGAAAGGAAATTCCCCACCAAAAATGCACCTCTTAACCTGTAAACCACAAAGGTGTGCAAGCTGAGCAATATGTACTCTAGTTACAGTGACGCTGACAGGGCCTTCCCGCTGTCTTCATTTCTTTTTTTTTTTAGTAATTGCCAGTTGTCAGCATCCAACCATAAAATGCTTCCTGCTGTTTGACTAAAACATAAAAAAGCAAGTCAATGTAGCTCTCAGAGAAGGACGAGATCTGACAATAGGGATGAGAGACTAACTGACGGTCCTTGTTTAATATTTATAGTTAATAGATTTCTAACGACCTGTTTGGAGTGTGGCAAAGAGATTTATGGTCTAGTCCTCAGGCAGGCAGCGATGGAGGGGCTGGGGAAAGAAAAGAAAACTGAAAATGCAAAGAGGGAGCAAGCTTACTGAACTGCACGAAAGCTGTTAACCTTAGTGCTCAGAAAACCAATCAGCAAAATCATGAGAAAAAACAAACTTCGAAATAAACTTTATCTGTCCAGTTGTCTTACAAATAACAGACGTATTTTATTAAAAGAAATAAATAAAATGAAAAGGGAACATTTCTGATTCAGGGACACTGAATTCAGTTTTGACTGATCTGAAATGTGTTCCAGTGAGATCCACAGCTTCATTGTGCATCCATCTGTGCTGTCCAGTGGGAGCTCTTTTTGCTCACTTATGAGGGTGAGCTGGGGGTTAACAAAGAGAATTAATTAACATTAACTATCAGCTGGTGCTTCATGACTATTCATGAAAAAAAAAAAAGCCTTATCACAATGTGAAACACAGCTTGAGAAGAGCAAGATATGAGATGATGACGAGTAAGTCAGAGTGGGAGTGCGCATTAAGGGGGCACAATTATCCCCCCTCTGCCAAACCCACACAGCAACTACACAAACACACACTCCACCCTCACTCCCTCAAACACTTATGGTGCTTTGCACCCAGTGGTAATCTGCAAAACGTCCTAATAAACCTGAAAGGAGTTCTCATGGTGCCTCTCTTAGCATGCATGTGAGTATTACCCAGTGGGAGGAGAAGTGTGCTAATCCACACGTTTACCATCAAGATTCAGTAGCGGTAAATAGATGTGCAGCAGAATGAAGTTATTACCTGACAGACAGATACATTATGTCCTCTCTAAACATCCACACCTATACACCTCTACAAAAAGCATCCAGAAAAAACATTTAAACATATAGAATAAGAGAATAGAACAGCCCTTTACTGTCACTGTACATGTACAACAAAATTGTGGAAATATGTTGCTGCCCATTCTGAGAAGGTTAAAACTGCACAAGCAGGACATAATCCTGCACCTGATACTGTTATAAGACAGGGCTTTTCAGCCGAGAGTGAAACAATCACAAGAAGGAAATCAGCAGAGAAACTCATTGTATGAATGTAAAAATGCTGGTTTAGCTGTACAAGTTCTAACAATAACAACCAACTGTCATTTAGGAACAAAAAAAGGTATTATGGCACACAGACCTCAGCCAACAGACACAGATTATGAAGCAGGAGCACTAGGCACCACCAATCCAGTGACATAAATCACACATGATAATTGCTGACAGATATAAATGGGTTTGTGTTGTCTGGCAGTCAAGCGTAGTGCAAAGGGGTTATAAAGTTGAGTTGTGAGCCCCACACAAGCCAGCACCATTATGATGGATCCACCAAAGACATCCCAGAGATGGAAATCTGTTAATGCCAAACTCCCTGTGGTTCATAATGGCAGTTGTTAAACACAGTGACTGCTAAAAATCAATAACAACTAGTAAATGTGTGTTGAAAGCTGTCCCTGGGGTAGTTACTGCTGAGCTGGACACCTTCGGTGTGAAAAGCTAACCAGCACTGACAGCTCGCATACAATGAGGCATCAGTCCAACGTATGTCTGACAGACCAGTAAGCTTCTGTCTTAATCAATACAGCTGTCTACAGCTGTTCTTCTGACAATTTATGTAGCCTAGACAAAAAAAATGCTACTTTTACTGAAATCGATTGTAGTCGGATCATAGCCATAGCCCCAACCACAGCTCAGAACAGCAGTGCAATCTGCTCTGTACACATAGAATCATTTAGACCTTCAACCTACTCTTCTGTTCCCATGTTTTACTTTTGTGACAATTTTGCTTGCTTTTACAAAAAGAGCAGATGTTGCAGGAAAATAAGGAGTCATGATTTCATAAAGATTTTAAGTAATGTGCAGCACAGAAAATCTTTTCATTCTACTGAAAAACAAAAATGAATATAAAAAAAAAATTGTCAAAAGTATAGGTTGAATGAAAAAGCGAGGGGGATGAAAATCTACCCGATGAATGCAAATATGAATGTCCCAAAATAAAGAGTACGTAATACATTTCCTGCTAATATTACGAGCAGTTTTCTGGGACCTAGCTTATAATGCACTAAACGACTAAGCAACAGTTGCCTGATGAACCACTGTGATGTTTGGGGGTTGCACTGCATTATTAGCAGAGAGGCAGAGAGAGTGATTTCAACTGATGTCAAGTGAAGTTCAGTGCAGCCAGAGGCTTGCTGTTAAACGTCTGACTTCAAAGGACTCGGAGTTCACAAGTTCTAAATTCATTATTTACAAGCATGGAAAGTGGGTTAATTCAACGACTGTACCCGTGCTGGATTTTGAGCAGTAAGACAGGAAATTACATTTTGCAAGAGAAACTGCTTCCAGTCGATCACGTGATTCCATTCCTCTCCTAGCACAAGACTGAAAGCTACACAGCAAAATCTCCAGTGTTAAATTAACACTGGAGATTTTGCTGTGTAGCATTTCACAGAAAATGAGAAAATAAAAGGAAAAAAAAACAGAAGTGGTTTTGTTTCAAAAGGTAGAAACTTTGACAGGAACCAAAACAGAGCCTCCAGACTAAAGACAAGAGGAACAATCTGACTTTCACAGAAATTCCAACATTTCCAGTGACACTGGGGGTGTGTTAGTGTATGTTGCATGTCTGTGAAGGCACAAATCGTGCTTTCACAGATGCTGCCATCTCGACGACACCTGTGTCAGGACAGGCCTGTCTAAATGTATACCAGTCACATGGCTTCATAGTTAAAGAGCTTGGGTTCTAAAAGGACCTGCCTGCAGTCAACTCCTGTTACTTGCTGAAAACATTTGGTTGAGATGGAACAAAAAGTGCAAAAAAGAAGCCTCTAAACTGCTGAGCAACTGAAATATGAATTTTAGCCTCTGTCCTATTTACAATTAAACAAAGGGTTTTAAAGATCTGCAAATATTTGAATCTTTATTCCCATTTTATAAATTTTGGGAAATATAGCTGTAGCATTTTCCACTCTGAACTGCGAGTTAATCCTACTAGGGTGTCAATAACAAACATTTACCAGAACTGGAGTGTCAATGGTTTCTGGAAGGGGTTTGGAAATGGGCTGGGAATGACAGAGCTTAGAAATGGCTCGCTCTCCTGCTGTTTGGAGGGAGGAGATAAGAGAATTAACATTACTGCCAATCCGGATGCAGAAAAGGAATTCACTCATATTTCTAATCATTCCCCCCATCCCTCTACTTTTCCACATGACAAGCTTGGTAACATCTCTGTCAGCAAAAAAAGCACCCTGTTGCTCTGAGAAGGAACTGGAAATCAAGGACAGGGAAACAGAGGACAAAAGGAGGGAAATAGCAAAAGAGATGATGGAGTGGAGACAATAGATTAGTATATACTAGCAACATTATTCCTTCTTGTGCCAATCAAAGATAAGGGTGCCAGTCGAGCTCCTCGAGTGAGGCCATTGTTAAATAAAGCCGTTACATTCACAGGGAAGAGCTTGCAATTAGAGCTCTGACGAGGGAACAGCCTGACAACAGAGCAGAAAGACTGGAAATTGGCAAGAGTCTGCGGAGAAGGAGTTGGGTGTCAAAATGAATAAACAGAAGAAAAGGGATATTGGATCTCTATCGGAAATACTGTTGGACTAAAGCTATTTTTGCCATGGTAGACTGAAAGAGCTTGGGTTCTCCTTTCAGAAATTATACTCCCTTGCTGTTCATAGCAGAAAAAAGAAACTCGAGCGTTTGTCTAACTATGAAGTGAAAAATTCACCCCAAGGAAATTTGCACCATTTTGAAAACTCAAATGTTGGAAAGTGTTTTCTTCCTTTCACCCAAATGTTGTCACGAGCATGCGCAGGGACACACTCACAGAAAGCACAAGCAAAGCCAAATACAGTACTGTGCAAAAGTCTTGAGCTAGCCCTCATTTCTTCTTTGGGTTCCAGTGGTCCTGAGCATTTCTCCAGGTTTTCTGATGGTCTTTCAAGGTTTTTCTTTGGACATTGGCTGCTTTTTCACTCAATTTCAGCCCAATCCTTGTACCATTTTCAGAGGAATGTTTTTTTTCTGGCTTATTACACCACTTAACACTACTAAGCATAACAAGCAACCTAACTCATGTGTCTACACATAACAGACAGCTTACCAAAGAACTCATTTTAAATATTATTATTATTATATACTTTATTACTAGAAACCTGTTGCAAAAACAACATCGTTTATTCCTGTTTCTTTAACTGAATCTACAAAAAATTTCAAATATA